TATAATGCTATTAATTTTGTTATTTTATTTTTTGAGACAAGGTCTCATTCTGTCACCGAAGCTGGAATGCAGTGGCATGATCTTAGCTCACCGCAACCTCTACTTCCCAGGCGCAAGCCATCCTCCTGCCTTAGCCTCCCGAGTAGCTGGGATTACAGGCACACACTGCCACCACCCAGCTAATTTTTGTATTTTTAGTAGAGACAGGTTTTCACTATGTTGGTCAGGCTGGTCTCGAACTCCTGACCTCAAATGACCCACCCACCTCGGCCTCCCAAAGTGCTGGGATAACAGTCATGAGACACCACACCCAGCCAATGCTGTTAATTTTAAATCTTCTCAGAGACAAAAATGCTTAATAATTTAAAAATTAAGAATACAATGAAAAATTCACTATCAAATGCCAGAACAATACAATATCATACAGAACCCAAGCTAGGTATTCAGATATTACCTAAATCCCAGAATTACACACTTTGAATATCTTGGTTTAAATGACAGGCTCTTTAGACCTGTTGACAGTTTTTAGGGCAGCACAAATTTCTGTCTATTTTACTAGGGTCTTACTTTTTTTTTTAAACTCCCTAAAAACAAAAGCTACAAACACATATCTCCATCTCAATATATCTTATTCCTCATTATTCCACAAACTGTCACCTACTATTTCTATAGTTTAAGTCCAAATCCTCCTTGCTTTCAGTATTTTAAATTAGGAAGCATCACCTAGTTATGTAGCAAATATTTTTCCTGTTCTTACAATATTTTCTATAGTCAACTAAATACTTTACGCACCTTCTTCCATTAACCCTCGGATCTGCTCATCTTTCTCTTTCAAAAGGTCTGCAGTTTCACTACTATTTAATCTAGTGGCAAGTTCTTCTTTTATGTTTTTGATTTCCTAATAAAAAAGAAATCTGTGAATACCATAAAGAATTACTTTCACTCTAAGAATAGTTCTCATTTTTTCCCCCATCCAAAGAAGCTATCCATAATCACATTCTCAATAAGAATCTGTAAGTTTTGTTCAATTAATCTACTACCTTGGTTAACTGAGACTGAGAAAACAGCTTTGAAAATGATATACAAAATCTAAATCCAAATATACAAGCAAGTTTTAATATGAAAACATAAATGGGCATAAATTAACTTTCCTTTTTTTTTTTTTTGAGACAGGGTCTGACTCTGTTACCTGGGCTGGAGTAGAGTGGTAGATTCATGACTCACTGCAGCCTCAACCTCCTGGGCTCAGGTGACCACAGGCACATGGTACCATGGTTAGCTAATATTTGTATTTTTTGTAGAGATGGGGTCTCACCATGTTGCCTAGGCTTGTCTTGAACTCCTGGGCTCAAGGAATCTGCCCTCCTCAGTCTCCTGAGTACCTGACTACAGGCGCACACCAACATAACCAGCTAACTTTCCGCATTTTTTAGTAGAGACGGGTTCTCACCAGGTTACCCAGGCTACTCTCTTCCTCCTGGGTTCAAGTGACCCATCCACTTCATCCTCCCAATGTGCTGGGATTACAGGCATGAACTACACACCTAGCCAAAACTCTACGATTTAAATGTTAATATATGATATCCTTTTTACCTTGCTTCTCTTTTTTTCCACTATCAAAACATGATGAATGTACTCCTCAAAAATCTGTCTTATAGAGTTTAATTAGCATTATTTTACATTTCGATTACCTTTTTAGCAGCATCTCTCTCTTTGCAGGCTAGCTGAACTTTCTTTTCTGCTTCTGCAATTCTTTGAGTAAACTCATCTTTCAAGGAAGAAATGCTACTGCTTTCTTCTTTCACTCTGAACATTTCACTAAATTTAAAACAATATTTGAGAATGAGGATGGTGTTTATATATCCCAAAGGTACACTTGAGTTCAGTTCTCAAAAGGAAGATAACTTTTCTCTGACATATACCTTATTAAAATAGAACAGTATTGGGCCTATTAACTTTTAAGAAAAAAATAAGGACATTTCCCTTGTTAAGTTTGTTTTAAAATACTTCAAAGAAAACTTGTTAGAAAGTGAAAATGTCACCAACATCTGACATGCAAAAATAACAAAGTAAATACAATGTTTCAATTCTGAATCTTTGTGTGTCACATTTTCCCAATCAGCTCCTGATAGCAAACCAATACCCAGTATTTTCTTAAACTACAGTAACACAGTTTTCTTGAAATACATGTTTTAAATCTGTAATATTAAAAGACTAAAAACGAAAGAGCTTTGCAGTTTTTACAAAATGACTCTCTTCAATGCCAAAGGTAATATGGTAAAGACAAAGCAGAAAAGTAATCTTTAAGGTTACTAACTGAAATGCTATACAACTTTCAATAATGATAAATTACAAAACATTTTAATTTCAAAAACATTCTTAAATATGTACAAAGTATACAGGCCTCCAGAAAATGTGTAACATTATTCACATTTGTAGAATACTTACTCTTTCAGGTTATCATAAGCTTCTTCTAGAAGTGCTTTTTCCTTACTAAGAGATAATAACTGAGCCTCCCTTTTTTCCAGTTTTTCATTCAGAAATTCAACTGTCTGGATAAGGAGAAAGCCAAAAAAGTCACAACACTTAGCTTTAAAAAAGACCATTTCTACATGCAGTTATACCACTATAGTAAAGAAAACAGCTTTATCTCATAAAAATAATTAAGAACAATATTAGGAACACAGAGGATGCAGAACAAGAAGTACTCTTAGCAGGAGATAGGAGAGTAAAAGTAAGTACAACCAGAGAGCCAGTGGGAGTGTAAGTTGAGAAACCACTTGGGAAAACAATTAGGTAATATCTAGTTGGAGATCTATATACTCTTTGATATAGAAAATTTCACTTTTAGGTATACTTTAGAGGAGAAAATTCTTGCATAAATGCACTAGGTGACACGGATAAGAATACTTATTGCAGCTTCCTGGTAATAGCAAAAATCTGGAATAGTCTGTGTATACACCAAAAGGAGAAGGGAGATGGATGCAATCAGAAGAGGTCAAAGACAGGTTTTAAAGACTATATCTTAGCTAGGTAGTGGATATACAAGTGTCTGCTTTCTTTACGATTCTTCACCTGAAACATGTACCCTTTTCTTAATATGATATGTTGCATTTAAAAAACAGAAGTCCGGGTGCAGTGGTTCATGCCTGTAATTCCAGCACTTTGAGGCCAAGGTGGGTGGATAACCTGAGGTCAGGAGTTTGAGACCAGCCTGGCCAACATGGCAAAACTCCGTCTTTACTAAAAATAAAAAAATTAGCTAGGCATAGTGGTGGGCACCTATAATCACAGCTGCTGAGGAGTTTGAGGCTGGAGAATCGATTGAACCGAGGAGGCAGAGGTTGCAGTGAGCCAAGCTCGTGCCACTGCACTCCAGCCTGGGTGACAAGAGTCAAACTCTATCTAAAAATAAAATATAATCAAATAAATAAATAAATAAATAAAGTAGAGGCCAGGCATGGTGGCTTATGTCTGTAATTCCAGTACTTTGGGAGGCCAAGGAGGGCAGATCACTTGAGGTCAGGAGTTTGGGTCCAGCCTGACCAACATGGTAAAACTCATCTCTCTCTACAAAGAACATGAAAATTAGCTGTTCATGGTGGCACGTGCCTGTGGTCCCAACTACTTGGGAGGCTGAGGCAGAAGATTTACTTGAACCTGGGAGGCAGAGGTTGCAGTGAGCAGCACTCCAGCCTGGGAAACAGGGCAAGACTCTGTCTCAAAAAACAAATAAAATAAAATAAAATAAAAGTAGGGCTGGGCACAGGTTCATGCTTATAATCCCAGCACTTTGGGAAGCCAAGATGGGAGGACTGTTTGAGCCCAGGAGTTCAAGACCAGCCCAGCAACATAGTGAGACCTCATCTCTACTAAAAATTAAAA